AGCGGCGCTCTTTCGTTGGCGGAATATGCAGAGGCAAAAATTGGATTGAACAAAAGGGAACGAGCCACGGCGGCACAGAACTTCGCAGGAAAGGAGAAAATGAACGGGCTATTGAAGAAATGACAATTTAGCAAATGGAAAGGAGGCAACGCGAGGGAAGGCAAATGACAGTTTTACGTAGGCGTTCCGGTTTCAGTTACTTCTCTCTGATAGTCGCTATTTGTAGCGCACTTTCGTGCCACTGATCGATGATGCACTACCGTAAGCAAGAAGGGTGCAATTTCGACAACGCATTAATTGCATTTGTTTAGTGACGATTGCCATTTCTCTTCCTCTTCATTTTCACAAAAAGATGCCGCAATAATTTTTTTCACTTGTACGTTGCAAATCACCGTATAAACGGCTGAGTGAAATCGTGTCCTTTTGTTTTATGCTTCGCTTGCTTTTTAAACCTGCTGAAAGGTCGGTAATGGCAATAGACGTGACCTGCTGTCCGACTGAGTGATGGGCAAAGTAATCGTGCAACACCTCCTTGAATCAAATGGACAAAGCACGCAGTAATAGCTTAGAATTTTGTTGCATTTTGGTCAGATGGGGCACAACCAAGCGCCTCACCAGCCTCATTTCGGGGTGAGCAGTGTATTCATTTCTGTCGCGCCGTCTTCACCTACGACTTGCAGCAGCTGGCAGAGGCGCCATGCAGGTAGCAGGCCTGATAATCAAGAATCCTATCGGCAAAGCTCACGGTGACATGGCACATATCCTTCGCAGTAGCCATCAGGATCCGTCGATAAGACACCCGGCGCTTTGATAGGCAGTCTCAGACAGTGACACATGACCCTGAAGTAGAAGACCGGAGGAACTCCAAAGAAACCGACACCTGCAATAACGCTAAAGTCTCCCTCAGAGCTCGATCGGTGCGTACTCTCAATTAAGGAGTTCGTCTAGCGGAACTGTTCCTTTTCAACCTGGTGAAAATCCACCTAATCAAGCGATCGTTCAGGTGTACTCGCGTGAATGAGGAATGCTTTCTTGATCACGTGAGCTTATATACATATATCCGGCTAGACATCTAGCTGACCTGGATTGCGCAGGTGATACTGTTCTGGTGAATAGCACGGGAGACGGACTCTGTCATCTGAAAGCATCGCTATGCAACATAGCTGGGAAAGCCCGGAAGTTAAAAGTTATGAAAAATCCATCCGGCACATCTGATCTGCGAACGGAGCAGGGAGATGAAGTAGTTCAGATGGATGACCAGTTTAAATTTCTCGACTCCATCATCTCTGTCGTTTGCTCTCTCCGGTCAGAGTTAAATCAAGAGGATTGCTTTTCGAAATTGGTCCATTGTTTGGGCTGAAAAAGGCATTTCTATGCCATTCCTCTATCTGGTCAGTGTTGTTCCGCGGTGTGGAGATAGTTGCTCTAACGAAGAGGCAGGAATGAGTATTGAACTGCGTACAGCAGCTTTGACTTTGACAGATGATGAGGGTTAAACGGCAAGACCACTTTAGGAATGACTCTTTTCTCCTCCGGGCAGAGGTGACCTCAGTCTCGTCTGATGCGCAGAAGAACAAAACGAGACTGGCCCTGTGGACAAAATGGTCGAGCTTTTACACCATTTACTTTAGCCCATGCGCGTATCGTGTGGCAGCCGAAACACAGCGGACGTCGACCAGGAAATCAGCACGCGACGTTAAGGAGTAAATAAGAGGCAAGTCCGTTGTCAGAGAAAAATATTTCTTTCTGCGATGCAGCAACCGGTGTTTTATGGCGAATGCGTTGTGAGTCTGAGAATGCAACGAACATCACACACCGGAGACGATGTGCTGAACCGAACCAAACTGCTGAAGGTGATGACCTCAGGAAACATGACGTACACACAAAAGGAGTCGTGAGGTCACAGCGATTTCTGTATGCTTAAGAGGAGTCAAATTCTGATAGTACCTATCGAGAGAAATGACAAATGCGAGGCGGCAGATAGGCGAGACCAAGCTCGAGTTTTTTTTTGACGTGGTCGGAGTGCTCGCCTTTATGTACAGAAATGGAAAGTAAAGCAAAAGAAAGGTGGTCAACGTTGAACGTCAATGTCGGTTTTCCTTCGTGTTCATGATAGGGCCATTTTGGGGCCCTTCTTTTCATGAAGTTCATGGTGCGGGCTTATCTCCGTTTCTTCGTCATCAGCTAGCAGTGCCTTAAATCAGTGTGCATTTGGCAAGGGTTGCGCGTAGTCTGCTATTTCCTTCCTACAGGCGGTGGTAATCATTTATCAACCTCGGAAGAAATAAGTGCGCGTGAGCGCGACCCGTGCTTGAGGTCAAGACTAATCGGTTGTGAGTTAGGTACTCTAGCGACTGAGCAAGCCCGTTCTGAAGCAGTGCATGGCAAATTGGTTGCTGAATGGAATTGGTGAATGAGTCAAAGATTGCCCTCAAGCGAAATCGAATGTCGCTCGCACCGCCGGTGTTCGAAACAGACCTCTTGTTGCTGCTGTTGTCGTTGTCATCGTCATCTGGGGTATCAAGGTCAAGAACAGAGAAACCAGCTCAATGACATCTGACGCTTTGGCTTCTCACAACGATTTGAGCGACGGCAAAGGTCATGTTCCTCGTCGCAATCAAGTCTGCCTCTAGCGGCTGCTTGAGGATTCGATGCCGGCCTGCGACGCGCCTGCGGCCATCCTTTGCTTCCCAAACAAACAGCCCTCTTAGACAACTGAGCCAACGCGCCATACAGAAACGAAGGAATCGTTGAGTGTTTTCGTTTGTCTGCAGGTACCGGGAGCCAGCCACAGCCAGAGTCTGGTCCTATTCACGCGGATTGCTTCCGTTTCCATACGTACCAAGTAGAGCTTCAATCTTGTTCAAGTGCAAGACATATGTTAGGCCATAAAAGTGGCGTTGGAACTTTTGTTCCGGTGATTACGTTCACCTCAAACTCAGTCCTCTTCACGCTGACTTCAGGAAAGCTCTTTCTGCTGCGCTGTCGTTGGGCATTGCTGTGGCAGGATGGAACAGCCCCGTGATGAAAAACGGTCAAATTCGTAGATGAGCTACCGTGACAGGAAATCGATGCGAAGATTCATCGCTTTCAAAGCACGCAGTTGTGAAGCACAGCACGGTTTCTTGTGGTGGTGGTTCTGATTCAAGCTCTTCTTAAAACTGATTCCACATTTTCCTGTCTTAATCGAAAATCCATATTGCTATTAATGGTGTTTTTAATAAATGTCATGCACTGTAGGGTGTTCGCCATTTATTTATTCAATCGGACAAGTGCAACTGCTTACTAGAAAATGGCGAGCCTGGTTTGACATTTCGTTCTGCATCGTACGAGCCATGCTATAGTGAATAAGTAGAGTGTACATAAAAATAAAGTCCTTCGCCGATTCGGCCCTCGCCGTTGCACCAACGTCCTGAAAGCACAGCGCTCCTGTTCCTTTCAATCGACGTCGACGAAAAAAGCTTTCAATTGGCATCGAAATTCGAAATTCGAAATTCAGTTTGCTTGTTCTCGGATTTCGTGGTCGAAATTTGATGATTTTCCGAGACTCATTCTCGCAGTCGATTAGCATCTGCGTTTGGAACCGAACGCATCGCCTTCATTCTCCTCTAATTAATCCTGTCCCGCTGTCGCTTCTTTTGCCGGCTGTCATAGTTTTTTCCGAACCTGTCAGCGCCTTTTATGCAATAATTCATTTTAAAGTTGAACAAGATCATTCTCTCGGCCGCGGATCGATAAATCCGTGATTAGTCACGGAGTGTCGAAGCGCTAATTCGTGCATTTCGCGTCGTTTGTCGCATGATCGCCCTTCACACGGGCAACGAGACCTCTTTAAGCGAATTACTGGTTTTCGTCCGTTATCTGATCTGACTACATCAACGACGTGTGAAGTCGTTTCGCTTGCCCTTTTGCCGACCGACCTCACAGACACCGAGGTGGTACTGCGTTGAGGAAGTTAGTCACCCGGTCGTTTCAGTTATACCCATTGAACCCATTGCTCCCGTGTCTTCTGCCGTTTCTGCATTGCTTCTCTTACACGGCCAGCTCAACTTCCTCCTGGCCATCACGTTTCTTGAACAACCCACCTTTCCGTTTATTTT